AACTGCTTGGTGGCATAAAGAGGTCTTCCCCACCTTTCCTCCTCCCCACTTTGCACAGGTGCCAGGTAGGCACTGGTCTGATAGTCCTTCTCCATTCTGTTTTGTCCCTCATAAGAACCTATCTTAGTTAGGGTTTTTATTGCTATGAAGAGACACCATGAGTAAGGCAACTCTTATAAAGGGAAACATTTAGTTGAGGTGGCTCACTTACAGTTTCAGAGACTCAGTCCATTATCATCATGGCAAGAAGCATGGCGACATGTAGGCAGATATGGTTCTGGCCACATCTTGATTAGAAGGCAACTAGAAGTGGTCTATGACACTGAGCATATACAGGACCTCAAAGCCCACCCCCACAGTCATACACTTCCCCCAACAAGGCCACACCTACTCCAACAAAGCAATATCTCCTGATAGTGCCAGTCCCTTTGAGGGCCATTTTTTTCAAGCCACCACAATACCTCTGTATACTTTTTACTATCTTTTGGTCTTCTAACTAAAGAATTCAAACTGGCCTGAAGGGCAACACCTACCTATCCCCACTTACAAATGTAGAGCTTGGATGGAAGGAAGGAGGTGGGATGACAGAAACTACAAATATCTTTTTCAAATTACATGGTCCTGTAACATAACGCATTCTTTAAGGTGTGTGTATGTGTATATACGGATGTGCACACGTGTGTTTATACTTGCAAAAGCAGCGAGAATTCTATTATTTTTACATTTGCACTATATACTCCAGGAGAATCGATTGGTTGACTTTGTTTTCTGATTCTATTCTAGTCCATGGCAACTGAGAAGATCTGAAAGAGGTTAGCAAATTTTATAACCTGGATAAGCCTAGGAGGGTGTTAGTTGTTATGTTTAATATTTGTGAGCTCTGGCCGGGCAGTGGTGGTGCACGCCTTTAATCCCAGCACTCGGGAGGCAGAGGCAGGCGGATCTCTGTGAGTTCGAGACCAGCCTGGTCTACAGAGCTAGTTCCAGGACAGGCTCCAAAGCCACAGAGAAACCCTGTCTCGAAAAAGAAAAAAAAAATTTGTGAGCTCTTAATCCTTGGATGCAGATACTAAAATAATGCATTCCCAATGCAAAAGGTAGCCAGTGTCCTGAGTAGAAACGCATATTGCCAACCTTCTGACGAAGAGATGCTGGATTTATATGTGTGAAATTAAATTAATCTAAACCATTTTAGTTTAGTTAGCTGGCATGTAATTGTGTGTATGTTTTCAGGGTTACCTATGAGAATGTATTTGCACATGTGTGTGGAGGCCAGCCTTGGTTGTCATTCCTTGGGAACTGTCCATTTTATATTTTGAGATAGGGTCTCTCATTAGAACCAGAGTTTAAATGGTTTAGGCTAGGACAGCTGGCCAGTGAGCCCTGGGGAATCTGCCAGTTTCTATTTCCCCCAGCACTGCAATTAGAAGCCTTTGCTACCATGACTGGATTTTTTCTTTGTTTGTTTTACATTACATGGGTATTGAGGATCAAACTCGGGTCCTTATTCTTTCTCAGTAAATGCTTAATGACCGAGCTATGTCCTCAGCACCTACCATGTAACAGCCAAAGAAAACAACTTATACATCATGCCAATCACATACAAGTAGAAAGTATGATCACTTGCAATGTAATTTAAAAGCGCATTGAAAGACTGTATACTTGAAAGTATGGACTAAGGACTGACACCAGCTGATAGCTTGTTGGAAACCATGGAAACCAAGCTACTTCTTGTAGGAGTGAAAAATCCTGGCCAAAATTTAGACTTAATAGAAAAATCTGCACAGAAAAGCCACATCTTCAGGTGATTGAGCAGCAGAAGGATGTCTGAGGAGCAGTATTACAGTTACATTACATATTTGTGTTCCCTAGAATACTATCTGTGGAATAATCCTTCTGTACACCAACCCCAGCTGGACTGGGAAGGAACAAGCATAGGACCAGACTAGTCCCTCTGAATGAGGTTGATTGTTGTATGGCTGGGGCAGACTGAGGGGCCACTGGCAGTGGCACCAGGATTTATCCCTACTTCATGTACTGGCTTTTTGGTATCCTATTCTCTTTGGGTGTGTACCTTGCTCAGCCTAGCTGTAGTAGGGGAGGGCTTGGACTTTCCACAAAGCAAAATGTCTTACCCTCTCTTAGGACTAGAGAGGGATGGGGTGGGAGGATGTGTGGAGGGAATGGGAGGAGGGGAGGGAGTGGGAATTTGGATTGGATTATTTTTTTTTAAAAAGTCTAATTAAAAAAAAGAAAAAGAAAATAAATAAGTAATGAAAAACCTCTGTAAAATATGCTGTTATTGGTTTAATAAAGATGAGTAGCCAATAGCTGGACAGGATAAGGTTAGGCAGGAAAACCAAACTAAGGACACTGGGAAGAAAGAAGGGTGGAGTCAGAGGAATCGCCAGCCAGACACAGAGAGGAAACAGAAGGTGCAAGATGAAAAAGAGGAAACACCATGTGACAAATGCATATCAATACAAATGGGTTAATTTAAGTTGTAAGAGTTAGCTAGTAATAAGCCTGAGCTATTGACCAAGCATTTATAATTAGTAAGTTTCCATGTGGTTATTTAGGAACTAGCAGGTGGGAAAGAAACATCTGTCTAGAACTATCAGCAAATAAAGGCAAGCACTGGTTAGTTTCCACTCTCAGTAAAGCTTTTATAACAGCCCAAAGTAGGATATACAGTGGAATGTGAAAATAATCACAGGCAGTGTGTATTGGAAGGCAATTCCCTTTCTGGTGCTTTGCTACATGGCTTATAACAAAGGCTGAATTTCCCAAAAGCCTCATGGAAGAGTCTATTACTATCCCTGGAGGCAAATGAGAACACTAAGGGTGAAATAGGTTGAAGGTAGCTTGCCTTGTGACACAACTAACTGGCTGTAAAGTCAGTATTTGAAACCAGGTGAGTGAGTTACTAAAGTTCAACCCCTTCCCGTCTGGCCTTGCCTCTTCTGTGGTTCATATTAAAATGGACAATGAGGAAAAAAATCATTGCTAGTAACTGTGAACTCTGGAAAAAACTGATGGAACTTCATTAGATAAGTTAGAAACTTTACAGGCAAAGTAAATCTAAACACCTACTATTTAAACTCCAGTACTTAATGACCTAGTATTGACATGAAAGGCCCCCCCCCAAAAAAAAAAAAAACTAATGGAAAGAACCCAGTCCAGGGATGGACCCTGTAGGAAGGGGAACTGATTTGCATGGTGAAAACCCAAATTTCATCTTGAATGATGGTGCGTGCCTGAAATCCCAGCAGTCAGGAGGACAGGAGAGTTGTGAGTTCAAAGCTAAGCTGAGTTATACAGTAGGCTAGGATAACAGCAGTTGGTTGCTGTTTGTGTGACTTCAAAACTACACCTACCAAATGTAAGGTGAAGTCAGTAAAACCTGGGGAGTCAGGATCATAGAATGGGGGTGGGGATGGAACTGTGAAACTGGGGTCAGCCACTAGGAAGGAAAACCTCAAGTAGGGACAAGGACGTGTGTTTCAGGGAAGGGGTTTGCTCTCAAAAGATTCTGATAAACTGTGCGCCTTATTTCCGACTCACACGGTGTTCTGTTTGTTTTGCTTCCCCCCCCCCCAAAAAAAGGTTTCCTGTCCAGAGAAGAGGGCCAAAACCTACTGTTCCCATAAATGAGCTGGAGAAGGCACACTGTGATTTCCTTCCAGAGTCAGCAAGACCCAGCCCAGGTCCCACAAACCTTTCTCTTGTCAAAGGCAGTGAGTGTCCCCAGTCACTCAGAACCACAGCCATGTTCCCGACTCGGTTCTTTTCTCATGACAAAGGCATACAAAACCTCAGCATCCATGGCCCTTCTGTGCACTGGGGATGGGAAGAGGCAGACAGTGGGTGGGGGGATGAAAACAGGATGGCTCTGATCACCTCCAGATCCACTCCAAAAACCCCTAGAATTGGAAGTGCAGCAGAGGGGCTGTGAGACTCCGATGTGACATGTCTCTGTCACTTAACTACTGGCCCATCATCCAGTCACTCCATCTCATTGATAAAATAAAGTACACAGTTCTCGGTCAAAAGTAGCAGGAAGCATTAGTATGATGTAAACAAGAAAAGTGAAACTAAGCCATAAAAAGTAACCTGGCCTAGATCCAGGTCTATTTACATCAGGGTTTGGACCTGTTGCTGCACCCCACCCCCCAGGCTCGGCTTTTTTTTTTTTTTTTTTTTTTTTTTTTTTTTTTTTTTTTTCCAGCAGAGTGCTTTAGCCTGCACCTAGGTTCTTCTTTTAACGGTGTCTGAAAGCAATCCCTGTCCCTGTGCCTCTCTGGTCACTCACTTGCCAGGCAGGACAGGTGGAAGCATCCAGCGACCAGTGCAGAACTGATAAAGGGAATCGCTGTTCTCAGGTTCTGATTTCGGCACCCACTGCTACCTCAGGGACACCGACCCGGGCGTATCGCTGGGCATCGTTGACTGTGAAGGGCACCACTTCATCCGGGCAGCTTGAGAAGAGGTACCCGCTGCTCTCTCCACCTGTGCAAAAGCGCTGCCCCCACGCTATCTCAGCCGGGTGCTCTTCTCTACGTGGAAAGGGAAGCACTCATTCCCAGAGGAAATACCAGGGCTGTGTAGGAGTTAAGGGTTGGATGCAAGAGGATGGGGCAGTCATCAACTCCCACAGGCTATTTTGAGAGAGGAGCCAATGTGACCCAAGTGGAAATCCTAACTCTGTCAACATTTCCCAAACCACTGAAGAGAACTCAAAGAATGGCGAGCCTCAAAGCAGGCCTGAACTCCGAGATACCCCAGCTACTGGCAGTACGAGAAGATCTGGTCTTTTAGAGTTACCCACTAGGTAGGCGGCACTTGTCTGGCACACCTCTTGTGGCTTGAGAGTTGGGGAAACCAACGCAGGACGGAGCAGAGCCAGGAGTCTGCGGAGCGCCGAAGCGCGGAGCTCTCCCATCGGGGAAGCGGAAGGAGGCGGCGCACGGTCCGCGAGGGTGCGGGGCTCCGGTACTCACCAGTCTGGCTAGCTGCTCCGGAGCCCGGCCGCTCTTCGGCCTGGCAGGGGCGCGGGTGCGGACGTCTGTCCCGGCGTGTGGAGGCGGCCCCGCGCCCCGGCTATGAATCAGCTGCGGGGCAGGAGTCCAGGGGCGGGAGTTACGGGAAGGCTACTTCGGGGAGGGGGGGCCCGAGGGGCCAGCACTGTTGCAATTTCCCGTCTCGCTGAGCACTTTTGGCACTCCTGGGACCCGCAGGAATTTGCCTTCTGGTCCCAGGGGGGACCGATTGGGACCCTGCAACAGGGCGCTGTTCCCGGGACAGGGCGGGCGGGACCGGTGGGAAGGGAAGTGGGAGAGGCCTGGAAAGGAAAAGCTGTGCCCAGAGAGTAGCATCCCGCTACTCTGTTAAGGACAGGGGAGGAGCCAGGACCCTGTGCCCTGGGCCAGGTACTCCTCCTGCACGGAGTCACCTGTGATGTCTGGGAGACCCAACCCAGCGGGCTCTGTCAGAAAGTTGCTTCAAAGGACAGACTCTTGGGTCAAACTGATGATCGTGTTAACTTTCGGCTTTGAGGGCAAGACAAACTTGTTGGAACAGCCATATATCCTGCGCGTTTCTCCGGAACAACCTGGAAACGCCCTGTCTGACCACGCCTCCTGCCGCTTCAGACCGGATAGCTTCCTCCACGGAGAGCCGATTTGCGTTCTCTTCTTAAAATGCAGTCTGGTCTTTACTGCTCAGGCGTTTGGAAGACATTTTTGACCTCTCTTTGTGGTTCTATGACGGGATGCCCTTAGCCAAACCGACTTTAGGAACTGGCATAAAGCGTGGCAACGCGTTCCCTTCTGCCCAGGCCCAGAAGCTGGGAGAACCGCCCACCTGCACGTTACACCTTACTCCCCGCCAGCTAACACAAGTTCAGTTCACATTGGAAACCACCTAAAAGTCACTAAAGAAAGAGAACTGAGGGGGAATTGTGATACATCAGGACGTGTGGACGACGAATGAGGTCTTAGAATCTGAAATTGAGTTAGTGGGACACCTTAAAACAATGTCAGAAAAAGTAGTTATTGCAAAAAAAAAAAAAAACCCTTTGCTTTCGTGTCTGTGCATGCTTTTTCCTCTTTCCTAATGACATTTCAGGGAAGCGTTTTTTTTTTTTTTAAAGAAAAAAATTCCAGTCCTCTCAATACCTAATACCCCATGGTGCCCCGAAGACTGGCGTGCACAGTAAATATTTGAAGACAATTAGGAAAAACTACATCAATCCTAGTGAATAAATGCGTGGTCCTTTGCCACACCTTTCATTCGTTAGCTTTAAAGAGTCCATTAGTGTGGCCGCGTGAACAGCCTTAGGGATATCTTCGAGCCAAGTCTCACCCTCTGGAGAGGCTTTCTGATCTATTTCACTAAGCATACAAACGGTGTGTGAGTGTATCAGCATCTCCTTTCGCAGGAAGAGCTGAGAGTTGACAGTCACAGCTGAGGAACTTTTATAAGGGAAGCGCATGCGTGGAATGGACTGCTACCATATTCAACTTCTCAGAGGGAAAGTGGATGCACTACTAACAAATCATAATATACCCAGGCGTCTTTATATATGTATATATATATATATGTATGTATATACATATATATATAAAGATATAATAGAGAAATTTCATGTAAATTGTAAAATACAGCTATGATTTTTTTCAACTGTTGCAAATAGCTATAATTTCACATTGGATGATGCATCACCACATTGATAAATTGGAAGGAATTGAGATTTCCCTGAAGAAAGTATCCTTATAACTGAGCAATGGGTAGCATTTGACAATTACCTTCATCTATAAGAATTTTTTTGTTTTCATATTTGACATAGATTTCACATAGATTGTCGTTAGTGCCTTAGGAAGTCTTACAGCTTGTGGTTACCCGCCTACTGGGGCGTGACCTCTTATACTATATATGCTGATGCAGAGCCTGCGTCCGCTCTCTTTTTGGCTGCTCTTTTTAGTTGCTGGATTCGCTCTCTGTTTTCCATTTAAGCAAAGGATTTTCATTTGTGAGCTTACCCCTAAATAAATAACCATATATTTTTTAATTTTGAGCTGGTGTGGAATTTCTTTTTAAGCCTCCTTTCACATTTGGCGCCCACGTGGAATCAGACTCCCTGCCTCCTGAATTCGGTTTCTGTTTTCCGTTCAAGGATTCTGATTTGTGAATTTACCCCTAAACAAATAACCATCTGTTTCTCAATTCTGAGCTAGTATGGGATTTCTTTTAAGGGTCCTTCCACACGTTAGGCCTTCAGTGAAGCAAACATCTAAAATTATGATAAGTGATGATCTTGACCTTTTTGTAATAAAACTTGATGTAACTTAAATTATGATTTTATCCGCGGGACTGGGACTGAATAAGCATGGGATGAAACCGGATTTTCTGAATGTGGCGGACAATGAAGGCTGATGAGAAGCCAAGGACAATGGCACTAGGTTTCGATCCTAATACATGGACTGGTTTTGTGGGAGCCTAGCCTGTTTGGATGCTCACCTTCCTGGTCCTGGATAGAAGTGGGAGGACCTTGGACTTCCTGCAGGGCAGGGAATCTGGACTGCTCTTCAGAGAGGGAGGGGAAATGGAGTGGGGGGGGGATGGGGAGAAGGGGAGGGGAGTTGGGGGAGGGGGCGATGTGTGCGAGGAGGGGGAGGGAAATGG